TGAGTTTTCAGGGAATCCCCATCAGCACACGGCAAAAACAAAATGGAAAAGTGGAAACAAACAAGCCAGGAAATACAGTTTGTATCCTGACAATCCCAAAGTATTTCCAGTTTTATTCACTCTGTGAATTCAAAGGTCTGGCTTTAAGTAGGTCACACAATCAACAAATGAATCTTCTCATTGTGCTGTGTTTCTCAAATGAGCTAGAAGGGAGGCTGACTCCTGTCCATGGCACACCCGGTGGGACAGTCTAATTACCAATAATATGCAATGTAGGCTCAAAAGATTGTTATCCTTAGATCTGAAACATCTTCCTAACCAGAATAGAAGTGAAGATACAACTTGATACTACGTTTTGTTTTGCTAAATCTATCACTTATGGAGGAATTTAATACTGTCTTGAAATCTTTCTTATCCTTCAGAATCCTCTCAGGTATTCCCTTCTCAGTGAAACCTTCCCACAGTCAGAATTACCAGCCACCTTTTGTCACCCTGCTCCCAGTTACGCCTCCACTGGAGTGCACACCCCACGGCTGGGCTCCTTCTGTTGTGTGCCTGAGGTCTCCCTCACTGAGTCATGAGCTCCTGAAGCCATTTGGATGGAATAGAAAGAGTTCAGGGACTCGGAACCCAGGTCCCTGAGTGTGCACTCAGCACCGCTCTGTCCTGGTCATTTGTCCCCAGGAGGCCATGGAAGGTTTTGACCTGGCTGCCCCACTCTGTAGTGGCCATGATCAGATGGGGTATTGGGAGGGTGGTGTGAAATAGTGGGTGTGCAGCTGTCTCCCTTTTCTCCTGGCTTAGAGTAGGGCCCCAGATAAAGGCTTGCTCAGGTTCTCCTTAGGTGAGCTCAGGGATCATGACTTATCAATCCTTATAGTTCTAGCACTTCAGGAAAAGTTAGGCCGAGTGGGTGCTCAGTAAGTTCTTTACAATTGAATTTAACATTCTCTCTTTTAAGGAGGTTAAGGTGTATTTATTTTAGGCATAGAAAAAATACAAGATGGAGAAGTAACTGTTTGGTTTTCCCCTAGTAGCTGATAGTGCATGCTTTTGTGGAATATATGAAATGTATCTTGAAGTAATTTTTAAAATTCTGACAGAGATTTATTTCTGATTTGCTAAGTTCAGAAATCCTAAACGCAACAGGAGAAAAGATAAATATTACACAGGAACAAAAAATTGTATTTAACAAGCAATTCCTAAAGGTTATCCATTTTTCTACAGTTATAGTTATAAACTTTTGTGGAAGAATTAGAAAAATTGATAATAGTTACCTTTGGGAAGAGGGTCAAGGGCAGGGGAGAAGGAGACTTTTAGTTTCATGTTATATATTTCCATGTGCTTTGAATTTTTGGCCATGTAGGCATATTTGGGTTTTTAAATATACATATATATATATATATATATATATATATCTAAATACATACATACATACATATATACACACACATATATGTGTGGGTGTGTATTAAGGATATCTGGAGGAATTGAAGGATGGGCCATTTTTATTTTACTCTTTTATATATTAAAATCTCTAATGAGTATTATTTTGGGGTGGCTTAAGTACCAAGTGCTAATGATAATTGTGGGTGCTCTGCCCCTTGTCAAGTCACTGAACCATCTCCATCACAGAAGTCAAGGGCAAGCTCAGCTCACTCAACCTTTCCTATGTCTGAGCTTTAAGAAGCTCCCAGGGTGGGGCTGTGTTCTCACACTACTGCCAGTTGGGAAAATCTAGCAACGAACTATGAGTCCTTAAAGTGCTGGAATCATCACTTCATAAATCTATGGTCTGGCTTAGTGAAGATGAAGCTGCAGGTGACTGCCCAGAATGAGAAGAATGATAGGATATAGAGCCCAGTCCAGCGGGAGCATCAGGCCCCTACAACAAGAAAAGCAAGGGAGTTGCCCTCCTTTGGAATATAGCATGTCCTTTTTATTTTTTGTGAGGGAGGGGCAGAGGGAGAGGAAGAGAGAGACTCTTAAGCAGGCTCCATGCCCAGCTCGGGGCTGGTCGCAGGGCTCCATCTTACAACCCTGAGAGCATGACCTGAGCCGAAAATATGTCAGAAGCTTAACCGACTGAGCCACCCAGGTGCCTCCATAGCATGTCCTTTTTAGAAAGATCCTGGATTTTCATTTTTCCTTGGCACCACTGAGCTGTTTTCCACATTGATCCCCTTACCTCCTGCTAGTGGTTGGGAATGAGCCCATTTAGAATGTCTGAGAACAAATGGTGCACCCCTTGTCATATGCTTGGGTAGAATGAAGCAGCATTTCCCCGTAGCTCCCATCGATCATATTCTGCTTCCCTGGACTTAACTCTGATTCTGTGAGTTAAGGAGAAGACTCCTCAGAGACCTTTCAAATTATGCTTTCAGTTCTGGGTGGTACCGCCACATAGGGGCCGGGACAAACTGGGATGTTTTCCTAGGAGGGCAGCCAGGATTGTTAAAGGAATTGTAACCATATTGCACGAAGAATTGCTGATGGGTTGAGATGTAGTCTCTACTCACTTTTCTGTGGTCAGATCATTCGCTTCTCTATGCCAATGAACTGGGTTCCATAGTATTAACCTCAAGGGATTGTTGTAAGGAGCAAATACATTAATTCATACAAACACTTAGAGCTGGTAAGGGTTCAGCAATTGCTAGGGACGGATTTTTGTCCTTGGGGCTGGAGCTATAAGAAAGACTCCCACATCTTTGGACTGCAGCAGCTATGGGCCCCTCCTGATCTAAAGGAGCTTACCCTCTGGTTTGTAGGCATTTTTAAAGTCACAGATATTATTATGAAAAGCTTAGCTATTGATTATTCTTCTGAGAGGCCTGAGTAGCTGACTTGAGCCCCTTGTGCTATAAATAAGAGATTTGCTGCATATGCATTTTCCTGGGTGAATCTGTCTCCTTTGGGAATTCCTTCGCCTTGTGCTGATCCATTATTTAAATTGTCTTGTAACCATGCACTGGGCTTCATGATATGAGTATCTTTTTTTTTTTTTTTCTTTTTGAGAAGGATGCTCTGTTTATGGTTAGCCCCATAATAAAGAAAAATATGTCATTCCCCATCAAGGCAAAGGATGGCCACTCACCCCTTTGCAGTACCCCAGTCTGAATAAAAATGGCTTCTATTTTGTCTTACTGTACAATGGTTCCAACATTTGCCATTCCTGTAGCTGCCTGTACTCAGCTATATGCAGAGCAGCGTCCACATGTCATTGATGTCAAGGTCATCAGACTTTTCCAGGTGTTCTACTGGGTCCATTAACTGTGTATTAAGCAAATGAATTCAGGGTGAGTGTTTAAATAGGATATTTCCCAAACTAATCTAAAGCAATAAATCAATGTGTTTTTCTAACTTGTTACTTAGATGCTGCTGAGTATCTTGAATGTGCCTTTGAAAAGGAACTATTCAAGTGGTGATTTGGTGAAGGGGGAATAGAAATGGATGAGAGATGTAGTAGCTTTGTAAGTACCACACCCAGATATAACAAACTTTCATTTATTAATTAATGTCATTTCCGCTAGACATTACACACCGTTTTACAAACATCTCTGAAGTAACTTTTGCCATACCTAATACTATTTCATCTTAAGAAATATTCCAGACAGGGCTTCTGGGGGCCTGTTTTTTTAGAAGAAGCAAATGAATTAGACAAACCATAAAAGACTCTTAATCTCAGGAAACAAACTGAGGGTTGCTGGAGTGGAGGGGCTGGGAGGGATGAGGTGGCTGGGTGATGGACATTGGGAAGGGTATGTGGTATGGTGAGTGCTGTGAATTATGTAAGACTGATGAATCACAGACCTGTACCCCTGAAACAAATAATACATTATATGTTAATTAAAAAAAAAAAGAAGGGCGCCTGGGTGGCTCAGTTGGTTAAGCGACTGCCTTCAGCTCGGGTCATGATCCTGGAGTCCCGGGATCGAGTCCCGCATCGGGCTCCCTGCTCGGTAGGGAGTCTGCTTCTCCCTCTGGCCCTCCCCCCTCTCATGTGCTCTCTCTCATTCTCTCTCTCTCAAATAAATAAATAAAATCTTTAAAAAAAAAAAGAAGAAGAAAATTCACAGGGCATCTCGGTGGCTTAATTAAGGGTCCAACTCTTGATCTCAGCTTAGGTCATGATCTCAGGGTCATGAGTTCAAGCCCCCCATTGGGTTCCACACTGGGCATGGAGCCTACTTAAAAAAAAAAAAAGAAAAGAAAAATCACATGTGTACTCACAGTGACACCAAGAGGGACATCGATCTAACTCCTGATTTTCCATTTGTTTCTACTATGGAAGTAAAGCCAACCATGATGTTTAACAGTTCCCAAACTGCAACACTATTTTTCTTCTCCTTAGGCTCCTTAAGCTTCTGACTCCAAGAGAAAGTTTTCTCTTATGAGCAGAGTTTGAGACTATTTTAAGATTAACTCTTGTGGTCTCTAAACCTACCTTCCCTAGCTTCCGTTTCCTTCTTAAGGAAGGGCCAGGGCTTTTAGGAGAGACTAGAGAGAAAGAACCCATGGAATCCTTTAGAGAGTCCCTAAGAGTCTGGCCTTGGCCTGATCATCTGCTACAGGCAGAGATTTGAAGCAGACTGGGAGATTCATTTTGACCAGGAAGACCTTGACTCAGTCTCCCATCTTGGCCTTGTCATGTGCTAAGCTGGGCATTTGGACCAAAGGCAACATGCGTGTGAGTCAAAGTCCAGGATTGTCCTCTGTGGAGACTCCTTGGGCCTGCACCCTATGTACCCATTCTCATGAGCTGAGCAAGAACATCACTGTTTTGTCTTTTGCCTTTGTCATTGGTCATGACAGCTAAAGGTAACCAACAGAGCTTACTTTCCCATTTGAAAGGTGATTTGTATATCCTGAAGGATGTATTTTTTTAAAGGAATTTTTTTCTCATACAAAATGTGAAAATGTATTTTGTCTCTTGTTCATTTGATCTAATGTGTTAATTACTCCAATCTCTGACATGTTTCTCTGTTTTCTATGTGTTGCAGGCAGCATAGTGTACCTTGGCATGATGGCAGGGGCTTTCTTCTGGGGAGGACTGGCAGACAAAGTGGGAAGAAAGCAGTCTCTGCTGATTTGTATGTCTATCAATGGATTCTTCGCCTTCCTTTCTTCATTTGTCCAGGGTTATGAATTCTTTCTCTTCTGTCGCTTACTTTCTGGATTCGGGTAAGGTTTTTTTCCTTCATACTTCATAGTAATGTGTTTATTCTTCATAATTATACATGTTCTCCACTCTAAAGGACCTCATTACTGAGAAATTATCCCTTACCACACTTCTTTCCCTATCTTCATGTCCGCCTTAGGAACCATGATGCTGGTTCTTAGAAATGTAAGTCCAGAAGAGAGGAGAACACACTTCTATGTTCTTGTGGCTGATTCTGGTAGTATTTTACTTCAGGAAATGTGTTTTAGTTTAAATGGAATCTTGTTTCTCTGGCAGAATGCATTCATAAATGTATTTTTCTTCTGAAAATTTAGTTTAAGCAAGAAATAGCCCTGGTCCTACCTATTATGAGCTAGTAAAGGTTCAAACTATTCAAACTTGCTCTTAAATCCAAGATGAGTGTGTCTCAAGCAAATGTTACTTTATTGATCTCCGTTAACAGCATATTTAACTTGGTAGAAAGCCTACTTCTTAAGATGTAATATGTTCCATTTGTTAAGTTCCTGATTTTTGTTGAATTAACAGAAGTTGTGACATTGGCCAAGTACAATGGAATAGTATCATAATCCCCCCACCCCGCTTATGCACGGGGGATACATTCCAAAATCCCCAGTTGATGCCTGAAACGGCAGATAGTACCGAACCCTATATAAACTATGCTTTTTCCTCTATCTACATACCTATGACAAAGTTTAACTTATAAATTAGGCACAGTAAGAGACCAACAACAGTAACTTATAATAAAATAGAACAATGATAAAAATATACTGTAATGAAAGTTATGTGAATGTGATCTCTCTCAAAATATCTTATTGTACTCTACTCATGCCTGTTCTTGCAATGTAAGACAATAAGATGCCTATGTGATGAGACGACATGACGTGAATGATGTAGGCATCTTGACGTAGGGTTAGGCTGTAACTGACCTTCTAATGATGAGTCAGAAGGAGGATCAGTTGCTTCTGGACTGGGGTTGACTGCGGGGAATTGAAACCACAGGTAACTGAGACCTGGGAAAGCAAAACTGCAGAAAATGGGGGACTGCTATGTAGCCAATGGTGTAATCATTGTCTTTACAGAGCTTGAAGCACCTGTTAACTCTACGAAGTGAATCCACAGCCGAGGAAAACCCCATATCTTAATTAGGAGAGTCCAAGATACTCTGCTCTGATAAGGAAAAAATTAGTAAAAATGCAAAATTTCTGTTTGAGAACTTTATTTTCGTTAGAGATGTTCTTTCTAAGGTCTCTATCGTAAGATGAATCTATAGGAATAATATCACATAAAAGTAAATAAATAGAGAAAGGAAAGGAGACAGTCCTGGGTTATGAACTTGAGAAGCATATCAGTTGTGGTTGTTGAGCGTGGTAGCCACACAGCAAAACACAGTTTTGCCAAAAGAGAAGGTCAGAGAATGGCAACTTGTCTTCCTTAATTACCTAGACTAGTACTTTAAAATCAGAACTAAGCTGAAAAGGAATATAAGGCATGATAGAGAAAGACTATGATCTGGTTACTTTGGGGGTACAAAGATTTCCAAATGCAAACTAATGGATCACTTTATGACCATTCAAAATATCTTTAAAAATTTTTATATCATTATATGCCACAAGATGTATGTGCATATTGAGACTGGTGGATTATTCACTGATTTTTCGGATGTGCTTTTTCATCTTTTTATAGCCCTTCATATGCTACATTCTGCACACAGTGGGCACTTTGCAAATATGTGACTAAGTCGCACAGATCAGGAGCTTTCCTTAGAGTGAAGACATTCCCGTAGACCATTCCAGTAAACCAAGAAGGTTGGAAAGTCTGGGAAAGTGTAAAAATATTTTTTCCTTGGGAAAAAAATGATAAAAATCAATAATTCGCTTTGTAATGAATGATAGAGAAAGGAGGCTTTCCCTTAGTGCTCAGAGGTCTGTGTGAAATTGGCGAAGTACACAGATGACCTGGGGAGGTAATTTGGATCATGGATTCAAGGGGCTGCAGCAGTGAATTGGGGTACCTGAGGAAGAACATGTTTTATTTGGGGCTATTTGTTAAAGGACCTTCTCAGGGTCCATAAGATAAGACATTCTTGCCACCAGGAAAGGCTAAGGCTTCCATTTACTTTCTCTTACCTCTGTAATACCACTGGCCTGTCAGAATAAGGCTAACAGCCTAAGTTCTGAACTTTCCAGTCCTTTCCATTTAGTCTTATCAAGGAAATTTCAGTGATATCCATAGACTCAGAGGTACCTGACTGTGGTCAAATTATGATGGCAGTTTTAATTGCCAATTCTGGACTGTGATGTGGTCAACCCAATTGACTGCAGAGAAAAGGGCCATTATGGTGGCTGCGGAATACTCCAAACTAATGGACTGTCTAGAAGTTAATTCAAGGGCAAGACAGAAGCAGAGACTGCCTGGGTATATTCATGATATCATCGTCCTCCCCGTCACAGATCATTCTTCAGCCAGCAGCTCAGGGCTGCTGACTTCTAATAACGTAATCTACCTGGCAAAGCACAGACTGTGTATTGCTAATTCAGCTCGCCTCCATAAATTGTGATACCAGAGGTTAATGCACTGTGCCTTTGCCAAGTTGGCACAGGACTGGGAGTCCAGAAATCGGAGTCCACCCTACCCTTGCCCTTTACTGGGGACCCTGGGAGAGTCATTCTGGTTTTCCAGCCTGATTCTTTTCTTGTATTTTTGTTTTTATTTTTATTTATTTTTGTTTCAAGTTTTTATTTAAATTCTAGTTAGTTAACATATAGTGTAATATTGGTTTCAGGGGTAGAATTTAGTGATTCCTCACTTACGTACAATACCCAGTGCTCATCACAAGTGCCCTCCTGAATACCCATCACCCATCTAGCCCATCCCCTTGCCCACCTCCCTTCCAGCAACCCTCAGTTTGTTCTCTGTAGTAGAATCTCTTTGGTTTGCTTCCCTCTCTTTATTTTCCCCTTTCCCCTATGTTCATCTGTTTTGCTTCTTCAATTCCACATATGAGTGAAATCATATGGTATTTGTCTTTCTCTGACTGACTTATTTCACTTAGCATAATACACTGTAGTTCCATCTATGTTGTTGCAAATGTCAAGATTTCATTCTTTTTGATGGCTGCATAATATTCCGTTATATATATATATATATATAACCACATCTTTATCCATTCATCTGTTGATGGACATCTAGGCTCTTTCCATAGTTTAGCTATTGTAGACATTGCAGCTATAAACGTTGGGGTGCATGTGCCCCTTCGGATCACTACATTTGTATATTTGGGGTAAATACCTAGCAGTGCAATTGCTGGGTCATAGGGTAGCTCTATTTTTAACCTTTTGAGGAAACTCCATACTGTCTTCTAGAGTGGCTGCACCAGTCTGCATTCCCACCAACAGTGTAGGAGGGTTCCCCTTTCTCCACATTCTCGCCAACATCTCTCCTTTCCTGTGTTGTTAATTTTAGCCATGCTGACTGGTGGGAGGTGGTATCTCATTGTAGTTTTGACTTGTATTTCCCTGCTGATGAGTGATGTTGAGCATCTTTTCATGTGTCTGTTGGCCTGATTCTTCTTTTGTGAGAAGAGATGGAGATTCCTGAGGCTGGTGGTGCACCTGAGGGGGGAGCCCAGGTGGCAAAACAGTCAGAGTTTTGTGGGATCCAAGCGCTGAGGGGACCTGAGAACTGAAGTTGTTAAGGAAAACGAAGAAAGTTATCTTTCTTCCTCAGCCGAGTTCACAGGCCATGTCACCTCTACACAACACGTGAGGCACCACCTCCATGAGAGAGGGCTTTTCTCAGCAGCTCTAGAGTTCCATTTGGGCACCCTGTCTCTGAATCTCTGGGCCGTCTCAGCCAAGGCTCTGCTTCCTCCAGAGATATATTTTTTTCTACGTAGTTAAGAGCTCCCTCTCTCCCCATCTGATTTGGGTTTTAAATTGAGTAAAACTAAATGACCAAGGAAATAAGGCTTCAGAATGTTGGGATTCTTTTGTTGCAGGCCTCTGGCGCTCAGACCCATCAACGCTCCATGCATTTCCCAGGAATGTTGCTCTTGCCATCTTTTCTACTTCAGAGGTTCTTCTCCCAGAGCCCTTAGCGCTCAGGGCCTCAGAGAGGCCCTTTCTAAGACTAGCCCTCCCTGCAAATACTTGCTTTTCATGTGTTTATTTCTCTTCTCCTCCGGACTGTAAATTCCAAGAGGCTGGGCTTGTCTGCTTAAGGCAAGGCAGGTTTGGTTACCCTCAAGGACACCAGTCCTGCCAGAAGTGAACCTATGGCTTTGGCTAGTTGATCATGGTGTTGTTGCCAGAAGTGAAATAGATGGGAAGTTTGCTGAAGTCTTACTTGATCTGTATTAGCAGAATTCTAGGTCAAGTGAATGAAAGTTTAACTTGAATCATAAAAAGTCATGAGGCTCAGGAGACAGTCATGGCCCATCAGTGAATTCCCAGACTCGAGCCAGTTTGCAGACCCAGAACTCCTCAAATGAAGGGGAGACTGGGTCCCTTGAGGAGGAACCCCAGGACACCACTGAAACTATATACCTTAATCTTTCACTCAGCCCTTCCCAAGGGACTTAGGGCCTTTTATTAGGGTAGCGATGCTGAGGGGAAAGAGATAATCAGACTTTGAGGGGCTCACCGGCTCTGAACTGACACTAATTCCAGGAGACCAAAAACGTCACTGAGATCCACCAGTCGGTGTAGGGGCTCATGGAGGTTGGGTGATAATGGAGTTGTAGCTCAGGCTACGTCTCAAAGGGGGTCCAGTGGGTCCCTGAATCCATCCTGTGGTTATTTCCCGGCTCCAGAATGCATGACTGGAATAGACATTGTTACGGATAGAATCTCCACGTTGGTACAGCTCCTGTTCACTAGTTCCACACACTGGGAGTTTCAGAGGAGGAAGAGAATTTCTGGGTCACAGGCAGAGCCTTCATTTTGCAGATTAAGGTGCAGTGATGGAACCAGGAAGACACAGCTAGGACTTAAGTCACAACTAA